CGACATTGGCGGCGTGGTACGGTGGTAGTCGTAGGGCATGTAGCCCGGGGGAGGAGTCGGATACTGTGGTGCGTACATGTTGGTGGATATGTCGCAGTGTGCGGTTTAATGGGTGGTGGTGTTTAGGTTCGTGTACGGGGGATCGATCGGGAAGGAGCCCAGGCCGGTGCCTGCTTCACCTTGGAATGTGCAAACCGAAGGATGGTCTTCGTGGGCGTTGGTAGCGGGTAGATGTGAATGGAGGTGCAGTGACGGAGGGGAGAGAAAGGGAAATCCGGCTCTGTCTACTGCACATTGGGTGTGAAGTCGTTTAGTTGCTAGAGGGTGCCAGAAGGATCCAGAGTGCAGGATCCTAATCGATATAGACGTTGACGTCTAAAATGCTTGGTAATGTGTGGTGATGATGCTCGAGTGCGCAAAAGAGGAAGCGACGGCGGGCTGCGCCTGCTTTTGAGACGCGCGAGCCTTCTTTGGCCTCTATCCGTGCGCGGACCATAGTGGGTGCCCATTCACCCTAATGCAACCCCCCCTGTTGCGCCATGCGCCCACTAGAAGCTGCCCAAGGGACCCCGGCTGTTAGCATACCCTCATCTACGGGTCAGATTGACCAAGCTGTGCCTCCTGCCCATATTGCCCACGAGTATTCTGGGAAGCTAGCCCCGAACCCTCCACCTGTCCAAGCCGCCTCTCTGACTCTTCAGTGTCGCGCTGAGTCCGACGGGAGGCGTTGGGGATGCCATTCACTCTCTTTCCTCTGGTTGATGCCTGACGGCGAGCATTACGCCCGGGCTGTTTTACATTTGTTCTGTTTTGGGTGTGTAATATTGGAAACACATTTTGCTCACTATATACCCGTAATCCTAGACACCCTCACAGATGCCTCTTCGAGCATGTCTAGCGTAAGCAACCACTACAGTGTACTCCCTTCATTTGCTGTGCCACATGCTGTGCAGCATCGCCTTCGACCCAGCTGTCACCGTTTTCAGCGTGTTTCGTTTGCTGCTAAACTCTCTTCAAACGGCCCTCCTTGCAGCCAACAAAGCTCCACTCCACCCTCTCATCCTCCATATCCGTCGTTGGGCAGGACTCGCGGCTCGCTACAGCGCGGATGCAACAACACGGCCCATTCTGCCTGTGCTTCCTCTTACTGAGAGCACATGCTGGCACCAGCGCAGAACCTCCCACATGGTCGTCGTACGCAGCTAATCCTGCCGTGACCGACCAGCTACCGAGCAACATATAGTCTTTGTTGATCTCCAAACACCCCCTCAACGTCTCTTTGAGCTCGCGACCATTTCCTAACCTACCCCATTCGTAAACTACCTTTTGCCTAGTACAAACGCTACAATGGCCCATCGTCGCGGCACACGGCTGGTTTTGGCTGGAGTACATCCATCCGAAACAGCGGCAGGTCCACCATTCAACGTCGTCCCGCGTCGCTTGGGACCGATTATCACTGCTAGCGAGGCCCTGTCGTCCGCTCAGAGCCGCACTCTATCGCTCGGATCCCTTCTCGAACTTCCCTCTGCTCACTGTACGAAGCTAATTTCCCGCCCGTGAAAATTTTTCGAATGTCTCACAGCTTATCCAAATCGCTGGCTTGGGGCGCGCTGTTGTTTACCGCTACTTCGAACATCTGCAGTCCTCTTCCAAGGCATATGGTACTGTCGATGATGGGCCCACTTACGGCTGCATATCGCTGCACCGGCGCCGTTTTGATTCGATGAAAACTATCAACAACAAAGTAACTTGTCGCGGTTACATGGTTTGATCTCCCCGCTCGCAGCTACTACGGCTCAATAAAGCAAGTTCGCAGCGCAAGTCCCTCGCACATTCAATTTGACTGGCTCCGGCGGAACGCCTATATCCGTGCTGTGCATGAATACCTGCGCCTTGGTCGCATACAGTCTGGTATCTCCCGTCAACACGCTCCTTGCAATCTCTCGGCACACAGTTCTCATTTGTATTTTGACCCCGATACGTCGTCTTTATTGGACTATCTCGGCCCTTGTCCTTGTGGCTCATCGGCTTGCGTTCCTACCGACTTCCCACAATGATTTCTGGAAATGTCAAAATTCAATGTACCCACTTTGCTATCAGACAACTCACCTTGCGTAATCCTTCGCACCCACCAGCATCATGCGTTGCTATGACTCCCCATGACCTGCAGAACTGTTTACTCCGCATCCGCATGCTACTATCGTCATGGACTGATTTCAAAATGAGGCTTCCTCACCAAGTGGACCTTCAGAGTACGAAGTGCCGATTGTTTCTATACACCTGTCTTCAAGACGATCACTAGGACGATACGTACGCGCAGTCGACGGTAGCAACTGCGACACCCATGGATGCTAACCAGAATCGCTATGGCGCATCGCACAGGTTTGCGCAGCCCTGTCGAATGCAGATGTAAGACTGTAGCGCTGCGGATTCGTCGGACAACCACGTTAGTCTGCCACGACTGCAAGTTGAGCACAGCTGTCGTCGACCTGCGAGCGGTCTAGCTGCATGACGCACCTCCCAAAATAATTACTTCAGCCCAACGATTCGCTCGGGTATTGCAAATTCAATACGCTGTAAATGTGAGTATTCCGCTTCTTCGACAATGTGTGGCGGTGCACACACTTGGCATGGGCGCTCCGAGTCACATGCGCGGTATGATTTGCGTTACAGGGATCTCACAAGCGAAACGTTGACTTCCCCTGTGGCGGAATGCCGCCTCAACATCACCGTCGTCGGACGAATTGTTACAAGCAACGCGCAATACGCTTTGTCACTGATCACTATCAGGGTCCGTAATCGTTCACGATTGGGCTCACGACCGATGGCAAACACTACCGCCTTGAGTCCCCTGCGTCTTACATTTCATCGCCATCGATCGGCCATGTCACCGCCGGCGGCCTTACTGCTGCTCCGATTTGACCGCTTCAGTCAAACAATTGCGAAGCGAATAATTGAAACACCTAGCGACTCTCGCCACTCGGACAGTAGCTCTTCCACTGAAACAGCTCGAATCGATCAGAACAATACTTCAGCTTCTCCGTCCTGTAAATGCCTGTTGATATATTCGCCACACATTTACATTTCCATAGATCACGCGCTTCCGTAGCCGCCTGCTCATCAAAAAAGCACCACTTCAGCGGTGAGTCATGGTATAGGGAAGAAGCCTGTCTGTTTAGCGAGCCACATGGAGACCAGGCTTCTCCCAGCAACATCATGCATTGACGAGCAGTTTAGACAGGTGGATTTCGCCCTGCGTCATAGCTTTCGCCCACCGCCATATTTGCTTTCAAGCAAGGTTGAAGCATGAAAGGTGCATGAGGCTCTTCGAGGTGCCAGTCCAAAACCGACGTCGTCCGTTCGCTGCGTGCGTCGTTCGGGCAACGAGTACGAGCTCCGATCAGCGTGTTGGGGTATCGGTATCTTTCGTCGGTGAGAAGGTCCTTCGTCTCCGCCTTCCGTTCGCTGGTATCGTGAGGCGGTGATTCCACTCACATGCGTTTGCTTTTGCCAATCATTGTAGAATTCGCCATGACTGCGGAGGACGATTCACCTACTTTCCAATCACTACGCCAAAGCGCAATTACGCCACCAGGATTCATGATCTCCACCCCGTCTTGCCGACCTCTGAGACGCGTATAACGGTCTTACTTCCTTTTGCGGCAGCCGGGCGTGAAGAAAAGGACAGTGCTTCAGCTCTACTGTAGCTGCTGCCTAGGGACTATCTCAACGACGAGCATCGCGGATGACGAGGCTTGCGACGATCGCGATACATCGGATAGGCTAAACCAAATGTTTAGTCACCTCTACCGTACGGTAAGGCGATTTACACGGACGTTATGTATGATGCATGCATGCAGAGCCGCCAAAAAGAGCCGCGGAAGGGTGTTGAGTTGCCATGAAAAGCATACATAGACTACCCTTAGTGTTTGGTACCTGAAGATGCACAGATCCTACTGTCTTCCGGTACCGAATACCCCGCGGAACGGTCGCCATCGGCGGAGTAAGGCCTTATCCGATGTTAGCATATCGGATTTTACCTCAAGTTGAGGACCCGTCGATATACGGGCCTTTGTGGGCAGACTAGAGCTGTCGCGTGAGATGATTGACTTACGCTTATGTACTGCATCGCGAGACCAGGTTCCATGTCCGATCATTGGTGCTATACAGAATCTCTCCCTTTGCTTGTTGCTTCACTTTTACACTCAAACACTTTCCGTTCCAAGCCTTCCCTACTTGCTCTGCAACTAGGTCGTTACGGTCGGCGACGATCACTTTTTTTCCCTTCATGTCATGAGACGTCTGTATGCTTCTGAGATTCGGTCCGTGTCAGTAATACCCCTACCTGATACCTTCTAAACCGGAGTATGCCTCTTGGATACACGCGGGTAATATGGCCATGCCTCAGATCATATGGTAACTCGTTAGAGACTTTTTAACGGTATGAAGTTCTACAATCCTCCTTCTTCACGCCCGCCATGCCAGCAGTAATAATGCAGTTACCTTGGTAGAGCCGCTTGCTTGTCTATCAGTAAGGTAAAATTGCAAACTTTCGTTTTCCCTCGGGTTTGTCCGTAAGTCAAGAGTACCATCGAATCGAGGAAGCGGCGTGTCACTGTGTGCTATGCTGGATTTTCGCATAAAGAAGTTAGAAATTGCAACACAGTTCCTAGATCGAGTGCGAGGATTGTCTTCGGATGGCTCGATACGCATCAAAGTCTCTGGAAGGATGAGTTGCTTTGTTACTATTGTTATGCGAACCAGCGCCCGTAAATGGTACTCGAGCCTGCGCCTGAAGTTTTAGCATTCACATTGCCAGGTCGAGCTTAGCATTCAACCACGTTGGAGGACTCTCACGTGAGGGCGGGTTAATCTAAGTCTCCCTCCAAGGCTGAGCTCAAAGTCACCAATTTGCCTAAACTCTGCGAAAGACGCACTCCAACTCCTTCTGCGCTCTTCTTCTGCTCTTTTTCGTACTTGTCGGCATGTGAATAGTCACAATGTCGTGTCGCTCTCAAAGCGACGCTTACAAGTCAGCCTTGACTGATCGTTTCATCGATACCACGAACTCAAAGCCTTTCGACATTCACAACGCTGAAGTGTTCAAGGACCAACCACTTCAAGACCCTAGTACAGAACTCCGGTATTTGTACTTGCTTCCAAAGAGACACAACATCAACCTCGATGGACAGACCGTCCTTCGCTGCGAACTTCTCTCAGATGCCGAAGAACAAACGCCCCACTACATCGGGTTATCCTACACATGGGGTGACCCCGAGATTCGTCGTCCGATGCTAGTTGGCGACAAGGTCTTCCATGCTACTGAGAACCTTGCCATCGCTTTGGAGCATCTGCAGGAAGAAGACAAGACTATCATATTCTGGATAGACGCAGTCTGCATCAACCAAAACGATTCAAATGAGAAAAGCATACAGGTCCAACGAATGGGTAGCATATTTGCATCTGCCGTTCTGGTCATTGCATGGATTGGCCCCGCAGCAGACGACAGTGATTTAGCCCTACAAGAGTTGGAGAGCTATGCTGCTGAATTTATCCAAGATTCATGGTCTCAGTTCAGACAGGTTTATGCCAAAAGGTTCGCAGCACTGCACGTTGAATCAATCGAGGCTCTTCTCGTCCGCTCATGGTTCAAGCGCGTATGGGTGGGACAAGAAGTGGCGCTGAACGAACAAGTTATATTCGTCTGTGGTCAGCGCGATATCCTCCGAGAAAAACTACTCGAATGCTGCTTGTTGTTTTCGCAATCGCTGGTTCTATGGAGGGGCGACATGATATGCGCAGATTTCTTTCGGTTTGATTATGTACAGGCTCTTACTTGGCGCGACTTTGTCAAACATACTATTGCCAATCTCTTCCTGTTTTATGGTAGCGCACTAGAGTCTTCCGATCCAAGAGACTTCGTGTACAGTTCATTCGGGCGGATCAATAACATTAAAGAGTGTGGGCTTCACGTTGATTACACCACTTCAGTTGAAGTGGTATACACGGAATTTGCTGAAGCTATAATACGAGCCGGGGAGATTGACATGCTTTCTAATGTTTGGCGTCCCTCGTCGACTTACAAAAATCTCCCGTCGTGGGTTCCCGATTGGTCTGACACATATCTATGTGGTTATCCTGAAAATGCTTCCATGCTTGAGAAAGACATTGTGGAAATTTGTAATGTCGGAAGAGGAGACAAAGCTCTCAAAATCTCTGCTCGGCGACTTGCTCGGGTTGGTCGGATTGAGAACGAATTGCAGATTCAGCGGGACATTCGTGATCTTAATCCGGCAAAGTTAGCTTTGGTCACCATACAAGAGGAAGAGGGAGTTATGTGTTTCTTGAATACAATCCAACGAGCTCTTAGTCGCAAAGAGCGGTGGCGCCCTGAAGAGGTTGAAAAGGCTCTTTTTAACCTGTCGACTGGTATGTCATTGGCTAAGGATCTTCTTGAAGACCAAGAAGACGTAGTAGACGACCTGTCCATATCATATCGGGCATTTCGGGGTCTTATAACTCCACCTGACGACATTCTAAACCCACAAGCCTGGAGAAAAGACGCCAGTCATGCCTATCTCAACATTCTTCGGGATTCGAAAATCGAGAATTTCTTTGTAACTTCCATAGATATTGTCGGTGTAAGTCGGGATGGCGTGCAGCCTGGTGACTGGGTATACGTATTGGGAGGTGTTGAAGGAGCATGGGTTCTCCGTGAAGCAGGAGAAGGCTATCATCGCATCGTTAGTATTGCTAGCATCTTTCCATGGGAAGATCTTGAGAACAATGATGCGCCAATCGAGGTTCTCACCATCATTTGATATGGTCACTGTTTCGGCAACAAGTTTTGCTCAAAGATGCTTTTTTTTATGTACACACCAGTATAAGGCATTTTTTTTCGTACCGAACAATGCGGTAGAAGCCATTAAACCCCTACAATACCTTCCTGTGAAAGACCCAACCATGCGTAAACGTTGGAACTGCTGTACACTCGGCATATTTCAAGAATAACCACTATCGGATACTTCAATTCCATGTCAACACGTGACTCTGCATCAGGTAAAAATATGTCTGATCTGCGAAGTATCCCTAGATTCACCATGGAGAAAGCATACGCCTATCTCCTCAGATAGGAACCTTCTGTTAAACTTTGTAAAAAGTCTCACGATGAACAAGAATAATTCGGCTGATACATCGACGCTTGTTCTCTATAAGGCATCAAGATACTGACCCTGCACATCGCATTGTATACCTTTGGTAGCAATTAGTCCTCACCCGTTCGGACCCCTCCGACTGGCTATTTCGTAAACTACTTCTATTACAGTAGGTACTCCTACCTTCAATGCTATAGATCGAGACAGAAAAGATCCAAGAACTAGAAACATACGACATGGAATCGCGTACTTGACAGTATAGATCTCGATACATTTTAATTCTGTCATTCCTAACACCATACTAGGCCACTGAATCTGCTTTCTGGTCATAACAACGTAATAGTACGTGTTTGGTTCCCGAAAGTGTAGTTTTTATTTCCTGCGCACACGGGAACACACATGCGAATACCCTCAGAGAACAAGGTATGAGGTTTTCGCTATCGCAACGCAGTTAACTCTCTATATTATTATGAAGCGCGATACCACAGTACGAATACGTCCAATATTCCAAAGACCCACCCTTCTCAACGAGAACCATGGTGTTTCATCAATGACCCTTGCTTTAACCCTGTTTATTTACACTCTCCATAACCGCATCCGTAGAAGCAGACGTAGGTGCTTGTATCTTTCTGGCCCACTTCTTAATCTTCTCGTCCACGTCTTTTATCTGCACGCCACCACTGTCTGCGTCATCTTGATGACTTCCATCAGATAGCTCGGGTGCGTCGGTTCTTAAGTTGTCAAGTACACCGCTCGTCTCCGTCATACCATCAGCATGCTGGTGAATTTCCCCATTAGCTTTCGCTCCTCAGCAGTCTTGCATCATCGTTCTGAATCCTAACGCTTCTTGGTGCTTCCTTGGCTGATATTTTGATTTTCTGTGCCCGTATTATCATCTGGCATGTGGTTCTCCTCCATAAAATCATAGGTGTTTATCTTCCGGGTCTCGACTTTCGAGTTCATCACGCCTAGGAGGGCGACCAGCTCCTTCCGAATGGACTCATACTCTGAGATGTTATCGACTTGGTAGTCGATGAAGAAGCGAAAACTGGCGATATGTGCGTGTAGCGTCTTTGTGTGAATGCGTGTCTATGTAGTCAACAGAGGTGAGTCCTCTGGTGGGACACAGCTGGGTGATGATTTCAATGTCGTAACTGATACTGAGGACTCCAAATTCTCGTCGTTAGCTTGACCGCGTGTTTGTTGTCTGGAGTCGCTCCTACTCTCAGCACGAGTATCTTCCAGCTCAGCCATCATGTCGGCGCCCCCTGGGAAGAGGTCTCGGTAGTAGCGCCGCTGTCACTCATTCGCAACTACCTTTATCGCTTGTCAATACAGGTCCCGAGTACCATAGGCGCCGATCCCCCGAGGCGCGTAGGAGGTCTGTCCGTATGACAGGAACCTCAGGAAGCTCATGTTGACGGACCTGCCTGAGCACTATAGCCTCCTCTTGGTGCAAAGCCGCGTCCACCACCTCGTGCAGGTCCTTGGGGTTGACGCACAGGCTTCTCTTGTGTGTTCGGCGTAGATGGGCGACTGATTCCGGATTCCTTCTTCTGTATAAATACGGAGCCTGGCTTTGGGGCGTATGTAGGGTCGAAGAGTTGGCGCGCAGGAGCTGCTGTTCGTGCTGGCGATTGCTCGTTGCTCGATCTAGGCTGACTGTCTCTTCCACCGCGTCCTCGTCCCTTTCCTCGGGTTGCTTTGTTTGGAGAGTTGCTGCGCGAGTCTTCTGCGGCGGAAGCAGCTGGCGAGCCGAAGATGCGCTCCCGTGCTTCTGCGTACTTGCGCTCCTTCTCTGCCCGCTCCTTCTGTGCACGCGCTTTGCGCTCTTCGAAGTCTGCTGCTGCCTTCTTCCGTCGCTCTTCTTCGCTGTCGTCGTCGTCGTCGAGGCTCATGCCTGCCATATTGCGGGAGAGGACTTGAGGGGTGGGCTTGCGCGCAAGCATTGTGACTTTGGGCTTGAAAGTTGCTGCTACAGGGGCAGGGCGGACTTCAGGGTACCATTGAGGCTCTGGATTCTCGCTTCCAGCTAGTTAGACGTAGTTTCTGCGATTGAAAACGGGCAACCTACGCTGCCTGCCAGAGCTGTTTATTGAGTTCAGCATGTTGAGCTTTAAGTTGCGCTTTCGTGAGTTTCGGCTTTGGCTGCTCTTCTGCGGGCTTCTCGTCCTCTTTCTACAAGGGGTGAGCGATTGCGTTTAAGAAAGAGGGGTACTTGTACATCGGCAAGCGACTCCCAGTCGTCGTCCCAGGCACCGGCGAGTGTGTTGTTAGGCGGCATGATATTGATGGATGGGTATTTTGACTGGCGAGTATAGAGAAGATGTTTGTCCAAAAAGCTCAAGTCGCGTTAAAGAGTTGTTAATCTCGGGTATGATGTCGCCAATATTTCGAAAGGTCCCCACCTTGACCCCTGCGGCGGCCCGCGATTAGCTCCACGCCTATGTCATTCACTGTTACCTTCTCCCGCGAGCGACTACCCGCGTCGCAAACGTATCCACTGCCGCTGTCACCCCCAAATAACGCCCATAAAATTCTTGGACATGTCAGGTGAGCCTCCTCTTCGCGCCAATTCCTCACTATGGCCTTCAAACGACAGCGCGTTTACCTAACGCCCCCCCTCAGACCGCGACGGCGACTCCACCATGCAATCGTCGCCCGTTAATCCTGGCTCGGACGATGAAATGTTCCCCGACGAAGCCCTTCCAAACAACCCAGCAACACCGCACAACTCCAATCTCACAGGCGTAAACGAAATCTCACCACCAAACTCCCAGCCTACGACTCGCGAGACGCTCGGCGTCAACTCAAACGGAAAGCGCCCATTGTCTACCGGTCTGGCGCAAGCAGCTACAAGCAACGGCACGGGCGGTAGCGGGACACACCAGGATGCTGAGACAGGTTATCAGTGGAGCAAGCAAGAGGATCAGCCGGGCTTTGAGTGGAAGAACACTAGGGCGAGGGAGGAGGAGGCCAGGGCACTGGACAGCATCGTCGACAAGGGCAGTATGGTTAGGCGTAAGTGTCTTCTATTCGACTGTCAGGAAGCATGCTAACATGTAGAAAGTGCGTTATGGTGATCCGCTCGATGCTAGCATACTCCCCAAGACGAAGCGCTGAAGGTGGCACACAAACATGCTCTTGAAGAGCACTGAAGCATGCACCCAAGAGACTGCGGTCACGCAAGGAGTTACGCAATCTATCTGATGTAATGATCGCAAGATGCGCGCAACATTTAGGCAATCCAATAGTATGAGTCGTACAGAGACGTCGAGTGCAATGCCTTTGTACATCGAGATAACCTTTGGGTTTTGACAGCTCTAACATGGTATCTTAAGAATAACACAACACGTTCAAGTTCAATTCTTGACAGATCGCATTTCAGCCGGTCCCTTGACCTTCCCATCCTGAACGCCGTCCCATGCAGTGATATCTTCTCAATCGCTCTCATTCCCATCATCGTCATCATCATCGTCCTTGTTGTCTTCTTTCTCCTCAAGCGGATCTTCTGTCAACTCCTCCCCAACAACCTCCTCCTCAATCTCATCGTCCTCGACCTCTTCATCCTCCACATCTTGTGTCTCATCCCCCTCCTCCTCTGTAACATCACCCTCTCCAGCATCTCCACTCTCCCGCCTAACCCTCTTCGTCGCCCTCTCACCACCATCGTCTGCACCCTCCATAACCACATCCCCGTTTGCAGTTGCTTTTGCAGGTGTCGAAGTAGCAACGTCGGCGGTACCAGTCGTGGCTTTCTTCTCTTCGCGCACCTTCTTCCTGTACGTATTCCGCTTATCGGCTTGTATCGACGTGAACTTGGTGACTTCGGCTTCAAGGCGGGGGAGCATGAATGAGAATTCCAACTCTGTCATCGCGTCGAAGACATCTTTCGGCATGACGGTTTTCTTGCCGCTGCTGAGTGCCTTTTCGGCGGCGCTAGACACTTGTTAGTGGAAGTCCGGTTGTAGTAGCCTACATACAACTGGCGTATGATAGATTTGGCTATAGGACGTTGTGGGAATCCTACGTTGATGTGATGTAGTTGACAAACACGGTTGCGCTTTTGCTCATAGCGAGGAGCGCATCTTTTTGTATTTGGGTATTTGGTGGCAGGACGCCTTTTGCCAGGCGCTGGACTATAGACTTTGGTAGGTTCAGGTCCTGCAATCGCATTGTTAGTCCCATGTTACTCTAATTCCTCTCAAGCGTATGCGACACACCTCGACACCTAAGCTCTCCTCTCGAGGTACCGATTTGGGCGGTGCGGGACTCTCTTCGTTTGATACCGCTGATACATTGCTCTTCCTAGGCGGCATGATTTGTTGTAGTGCTTTAATTCTAGATCTGAGGGAGATGTCTTTTGAACAGGAGTGGGTACGCGATTGCGGGGTGGCTATACTGGGGAGTGGTGAGCGTGAAGGTGCGATGGACTCGTAGATAGTTTTAGTGGACCCTGACGCGTGAGCACGCGTTGAGGTCTGGGCGCGATTTCGGCCTACCGAAAGACGAAGACTTTCCCTACATCACGAAAATCATAACTAATGTCACACACAAAGATGAACATGCTATTCGTGTTAGCATATTCTACTGTACGTCTAGTGTAGATACAGACTTTGGCACGAATTATCCTCGTGCCGGAAATGCACTTTTGTAAAGTCTAGCTACAAATCTCGCGACACTCAGTAAGCGTACAAAGGTCTCGTATAGGGCATTAATCTATCAACTGCTAGACATGAAGAAGGAACAGTAATAGCAACAATCTGACGTGCTGATGCTAACCCTTCTGAGAGGTGCTATGTGGCTAACGATTCCAATTGTCTTTCTGTCCGCGCTAAGGGCTTCACAAGGAGCGCGAGTTTACAGTGGAATCTTTCCACCTCTTCTAAGAAGACTCGAGCTAACTTTCCACTTCAACGATGGATTCGGTACATCTGATAGCACGGGTTTAGAATATCTAAGATCAAGGCAAGCGCCTGTACAAAGAGGGCCACAGCTGTCGGGATTCTAGATGGCACCTGTCCCTTATCGATACCTCGCCACGTGCCGCCCTGGCGCAATCTGGCCACCCCACTGAACTAGCCTAGAGCAATCCTTCCTCCGCAGCTGCAACAACTTGACGCCGTCACCATATTCAGCTCCACCTCCTCTACTTCATGTCTACCAAATACTGATTGTTTGTGTACACAACCCACCGCTGTTGTAACGCCGTGGAGCGAAGCGGACAACAAACCCGCTTTCCGGAACGTGAGCATTTGGACTCTCGTTCTCCCCGAGCACCACTGGCAAATCGGTCCGCCGATTGTCGTCTTGTGGAGGGCCAAGGACTTTCTGAGCGTATCCAACCTCGAAGCGAGCACCTATCGGGCGCCGTCGCTGAATGTGGCACGCCTCCAGCAGAGACCCCGCGTACTACCCAGTTCCATCGTTACCTAGACTTCTTGACAAGTCAATCTCTCACGATAGCCCATGTGGTACGCGCTGCTAACGGCTCGCTTGATCTCCAGATTTTGCATCATGGAGATTATGTGGATACTCCCATTCCTCTGATCCCATATCGACGGTTCTGCTACAAAGCCTAGCGGGGCGGATCTGGGGTATCAGTGTGGCTGAATCCAGACTACGAGCCAAGAACTCGTGGCCTCCTTGGCTGCATCCCACTGTCCAGCACTCTGTGGAAGAATGGCGATAGAAAGCTTTTGGGTAGTTGGGCCTCTAAAGACTGTCGACGCATGTTGGGCAATTCATGGATGATCGATATGGTTAGGATAGGGATGAAACGGGTAGCTTGGTCTACGAGTACGCCTACCACGAACATCCCTTCCTTACAATGTCTGACAGCACAACACTAACAGGACATCATGCCTTCATCAAAACTGCTCCATGGTAGACCCTTGGCAACCAGATGACGTTCGAAATGGCAAGGCGCGCGCAAAGCCAACGGTAAGCAGCATATAGGCCCAATATCCAGATGCACTCAGCCTCCCTTCCCAAGCGGATTCATCCTTTCACCTTCCGTTATCACCATCTCAGCTGCATGCCCAGCAAATCCTCTCGTCCTTGGCATAGCTCCTACCCCGGCAAACGTTCTCCTAGCCCGGCCTGCACCGATAACCGCGTGCCTGGAACCTCCACGAATCATCGACACCCACCCATCCGCTCTTAAGCCTTGCAAGGTCCCTGCATTGCTGATCATCTCTCTTCTTCCCAGCAAAAATGACGGTGCCAGCTTTGAGGGTCGTTGTTGATGGCGATAGCAATAAGGTGTATCGAAGGGGAGAAAGGGTTACTGGGAAGGTATCATTGGCAATAGAAGAGGAGGAGGAAATTGAGTCACTGAAAGTGATCTTTGCAGGCAGTTGTGTCACCAAAACGTCTAGGCCTTTACATGTGAATACCAAAACCGACCCTCCCGCGCAAAGACACGACTATGAAGAAAGGATTCGACTCTTCAACCGCGAGAAAGAACTAGTTTCTTGCCGCACTCTTGGACCGAGCAAATACTCATGGGACTTTGAGTTTGTTTTCCCAGAGTCTACCGAACCACAGTATAAGCGGATAGCACATGGCTCCAACTATCTTCGAGTGCCACATCCACTTCCGCCATCCTTCCACCTCAAGACCAGTGTACCAGGCGGCGCGGCGCAGATATCGTACTTTCTACAGGCCAGACTTATTGTCAGTGGCTCGATGGACACTAAGAGGTGTAAACACACACTACGATATCATCCAAGATCGGCAGTCGACGTACCACAACGAGCGAAAACTGTATCTTCTGTACTCTATGGCCAGGTTTGGAAACCACAAAAAGAGAAGGAAGATTCTCGGGTCAAGAAAGTGTTCTCCGGTGTCTCTATGAACTCGACGCCACGAATTATTCCCACGTTGAACCATCCCGAAAGGGTTGCTCCAGGCCAACACATGCCGTTGTCGCTCAGTTTACTGAACGCACGAGACCCTGCCAATCATGCTGAACGAGAGTGCATCATCGACTCCTTGACAGTCACCATCTCTACATACTCCACAACGATGTGCGGGCACACCTTGACGGATCCCGAGGACGTTGTATCGAAGCACATTACCTGCATATCACGTACCGGCATGAACAGGGCTATCCCATTCAACAAAACGACAACATTAACATCAAACTTCCGTCTCATTGATGATACAGAATGTGTACCGACCTTCAAAACATACTCAATTACTCGGCGCTACGCACTCAGTATATCCATTGGCATCAAATACCACGATCAGCACTTCACCATCCGTTCGAGCACACCCCTGGAGATTCTACCTCGTGTACCCCACGAACGCCTCCCACCACTACAACTAGAAGATGGCGAAGGTTTTGAACCCCTTCCGCAGTATACACCAAGAGAGCCGTCGCGAGAGTTTGCACCCGATTACGAATCATTGTACGCGCTGTCGCCGATTGGGTCAAGAAGTTCGAGCCTATTTTCTGGGGGATCAGCTCCTAGTTCTGCAGCAACAACACCAGGAATGGAAATTGAGCAGCCGAGTTATGAAAGAGTTGTGGTGTAGGTTGTTGTCGATAGTCGTGTGGGTTTGGGTGGGGCTAGGCGTCGGGTATCACGAAAATTTTCCTTTCGCGATTGCGCCCACCTCACTTGTGTGGATACCTTTATTTCACAGAATCTCATACTCGTCGTTCTAGACAAGAATGAAGATGCTATTACAGCCGTATCGTCAAGACTAAGGTGGAAAGCTTAGCAACTCTAGATCAATCTTAGATTATATTTTTTCCAAAATCCAGCTTCTCCATCAACAACGGTTCGGTGGTGTAGTTGGTTATCACGTCAGTCTAACAACAGCCTTAACAAGCTCGTTAGGACACTGAAGGTCCCGAGTTCAAACCTCGGCTGAATCAAGAGCCCGTTCTCCTCCCTTCGGAGAGCATTCTTTTTTGTCTCCCTGTTGTTTAGTCGGACAGGCATACATACCACTATCAATAAGAAGCAGGTCTATTTCATGTTCGAACCTCGAGGCTGTTGATTCTTTACTTGTGAGTGGAACTCTGTTTTTTATTGCAGTCTGGTGACTGGTATTGGACTCATTTCCTTACGGAGAAGGATCTTGGTAGTAAGTATCACTAGATCAAGCAAGAAGTTGTTTGTAAACAATCGGCCGTGACCTTTCCACGTGGAAAAGCGATGCGTCTATACTCTAAATTTGTTTATATGCAATGATCAAGATGCACCAACGTCTCATCCACCGCCGTCTATATCAACACATCCATGCATATCTCCCGAGTCTTCTACGTCCTAGACTGCAGTCTACTCTAGCACATAAGATCGAACTTCTTCTGGCGGTCCGCAGTCATAGCACCCCAAGCAGTCTCATCAGCCGCCTTTCCGTTGTCACCGATGGACGCCGGCTTCCAGGACTCATCGAAAGCCTCAAAGTAGAAGCCGTTGAAACCCCAGTCGAGCAGCGAGCAGAAACCGTGCTGGTAGAAGTGCTTAGCGTTGTCCAGTCCACCCTTTGCGGCGTCGTAGTCGGTGCCAACGGCAGTAGGCCAGCCGGTTTCTCCGTTCCAGATCTCAGGAGCCTTGGAGCGGCCTCCGGCGACCTTCTCGATGTGGGCGGTGGCTTGGTACATGTCGTCGAGGTAGACATGGCTTAGGAGTGTTAGTATACGTCTCTAGACTGGGTATACTAGAAGATGTGTGCTTACGTAGCGTTCTCACGGCTGGCACCCTGCCAGAAGGCAAAGGCGTTCACCATGATGATGTCGGCAGTACCGATAATAGCATCACCGGTTCCGTCGGCAAACTTGTTCCACGAGTCTGCTGTTCCGACCTTGATGCCAGAGGGCAGCTTGTCCTTGACAGTCTTGATCTTACCGGCGAGCTCCTCGCCAGTGAAGTTTCCACGGTAGAGCGTCTCGGAGCCGACGGTTACAGCGTAAATGGTATCGGCGTATTGTTGGGCAACGTCGGTGATGGCCTTGAGGTCCTTCTGGAAGGACTCCTCAACATCGGGCCTGTGGTACCATGTGTTAGCAAACTTGGTTCTGAATCAACGTTTGTCAGAGCATGAAGCTTACCAGATGCCCAGAACAACCTTGAAGCCTGCCGACTTGGCAGCTGGGAGAGCGTTCTTAGCCATATCGCAGTCCGATGCAGCGTAACCACGAACAATGGTGGAACCAGAGTTCGACTTGATCATCTTGAAGTCCTCGGAGTAATCCTGCTGGGTCTTGCACTCTCCGCTTCCCATCTTCGTTCCGAGGGCAAATCCCATCTTGCCCTTCTCAGCAGCCGAGACGGCGGCGGGAGCAGCTGCAAGCGCAGCAGCAACAATAGAGAAACGCATTTTCGATTATAGTGATGCTTCGAGTAGGATATACGGTGGTGATAGTAACGACGGATCTATGCGGGAAAGAGAGCTTCAAGATGGTACAAATCTGCCCAAAGATAGAGCTGACGAGGCCGAATAACCAAATATACAAAAAAGAACGACTGTATGAACTACTTCCAATAGAAGCAAAAGAATGACTGTGACGTAGAGTCGCGGAGATTGGATAGTGTAGTAAAGAGGAGGGAAAAGAAAGGTCTTGGTGCCTGGGGTTTGAAGGGGAAGATCAAGGGGCAGCGCATCCGACGCTAAGCCCGTGTGTCCTGGTTTAGAAACATTGGGTCTCAGGAACACCAATCATGGCGAGCGGCGCCACACGCTTGCACATGCTTAAGCTGATGGGAAGAATGGGGCAGCGGAGTTACGGCATGTGTTCTATGGGCGTCGAGAACATCGAGGACGTAATGTGGGTATGGGGTTTCGTGGTGTTGCGCAAGCCGAATGTTGAATAGATACACGGCTTGTATTTAGCAATATGATGCTCTTTGTTTTTCTCGCCTACTCTAACGTCCCGCTCGCGTCTTGTTGCGATGCTTCACGCACCGGCAATCTCACCTAGAGCTCTTCACACCAACTGCTCTCTATGAATACTCCGAGCCCAGCAAGAGACTGTTTCAAAACACAATTTCAAAGTTATACGTATCGCTCACCCCTTGGGTAGCCGAAAAGGATGCGCCTCAGTATTCAACACAAAGTCATCCAAGCTAACCAGACCCGTATCTGCAAAGCACAGATAAAAGTACTTCAGCGTCTCTGCCATCCAGAAACTCTCCATGTAGTCTTCTTTCTTTGAACCAATAACAGTAACATCCATAATCGCTGCATTCGCAAGCTCTGTATCCGTTGCATTTGCTACGGCTTCGAACATCTCCCAAGCAATCTCACGCCAGATAGGGTCGCCGGTAATACGCCAGAGTATGAAGATGGATTCAATGGCCTCGGGACGGAGGATGTAGCGGGGGTCTTTGGCGGTAGTAAAACCTTTGGGCAGGTGGGGTTTGTGCTGTGGTCGTGCAGCTGCTTCTACAGCGTAGCGCTCTTCGTCATAAGCGCAAGTTTTGCGATGGTCAGAGCTAGGGCATAGAACCATGTTGTACCTTTCTGGCATGATACCAGTAGGAAAGGACTTGTAAGCGTATGCACATCCGCGAGCAAGCTTCGCTCCGGTTTCAAGGTATTCCGCATCATCAAACAGGCGCCCGCCGAGCGCGAAAAGACCACCAATGAAGCATGATAGATGCTCGCTTTCTGGGTCAAGACTGGGACCGTCCGCATGGACATCAACATTGCCCGAAATTAGAATGTCCTCGGTCCCCGGTATCATAGGCGCGAAGAACAGGTTGTTCATCGCCGTATCCATGAAAGCGCGTGACATGGCCTCGTACTTGCTCGAGCTTGGCTCTGCAGATCCAAGCAGAGCATGCGCCTTTGGCAGATACTCATATAAAGAATCCGCGTTTCCACCTATTGTAAATTGGTAGCCAGAGACAACATCCTTCGCGCGCATAGACACCATCATAGGCCACATGCCAGGCAGCTTCGTCGCGTTCTGATTCTCGGAGAAGACGTCCATTAGGTTCGACACGGCAGCATAGTACTTGTCGTCTCCCGTAATCTGGCTCAGCCTGCTGAACTCCAGCGTGATGGTGCCTGGACTTGCGCTAACCACTTGATTCTCGACAATCAAACCAGTGCCCTTCTTCGCATCTTCAAAGTTGATAAAGTCGACAGGCATGCCATTCTTTGTGTTAAACGCGCCATATAGCAAGTCGCCCACCTCGATCGCTTTCGCCTTTAGCACATCGTGTCCGCTCAAGTCGTATGCAGCAAGGAGCCCGCCCAGGTACCGTATACATGTCTCGAATGTATTGACTGTCGGCGCCGTAGACCTGCCGAAATCAATCGTCGCTACCGCTTCGACAGCTTCGTAGAATTCATCCCGCATCCCTAGCATCCAAAGTGTGTCCAGGGAATCTACCAATGTCGCAGCCCAGCCAGAAAACTGGTCGACGTATTCTCCACTTATCGGCTTCAACGCGTCCTTCCTCCATGCCTTGCTCCTGTAGCTTGCCCAGCTCTTCGCAAATACCCGCTTCACCTCCAACCGTCTTCCCTCTTGTATGGCATGCACATTGTTTGAGTCGGGTTTGAAGTTATGTTGGACACGAGGACGTTTTGTGAAAGGCGCAGGACGCTTGGGCGTGAGCGGTGGCCGGTAGGTGAAGTTCACAGAACTCCAGTCGAAGCTACTCGGGGTCGCGAGGATATGCGGGATCTGAGATGGATCGTTCATATAGCGCGCCAACGCGGCGGTGGAACCGTGATCCGCGCCATGGCGGGACGGAAAGGCTTCGTCTTTAGGAAGGAAGTAGTAAACCCAACAAACGATGGAGACGCAGAGAGCGATATGTCGAGTGCGCACACGTGGCATTGCTGATGCGCGCTCATATACGGCAGCTACAAGCTAAGTCAGGAACAAAGGCGCACTCCATGGCTAGAAGCGATTGACGAGATGCGCGGGGGAAGGGCCGATGGGATTAGTATTGCGCAACGTGTTACGTGTCTAGAACAGTGTTATGAGGACGGCTTCTGATACGACATATGCGTTGCCGGCGGCTGATGAAGATCGCCCAGGGTGCTCCATGCAAGGAAGATCGCCCAGAAGTATTAAACCCGTCAGCACCAGCTGGTATGTCAACTACGTCACAAGACAGAAGCAATTGTTCATATTTCCAATATTATTGAACTAAAATTGCCTACAGACAATAGGAGAGGGGTATACTATGCTGATGCCATGCGTCAAATCTAACAACTTTTCGACCGTCAAAACGCTAAAACGAAAACACACTTCTACTTCTTGCTACTCGCTCGGCTGTTGGCTCTCGGCCTGCCTACAAAGCTTTCTCTTGTGTTCACACGGTCAATGTCAAACGGATTTGGGTTGAAGTCGAGATCCCTAACCGTTCTCCGACTTCTTGTTGAGCGTCCAGTCTGGACCTTCTTGAGACCCTCACCGTCGGTCTCCTTCTCAGCCTTCATCTCTTCGAACTTGGGCGCGGACTCTTGCTCGTGTGCCTCCTCCTCGACTTCCTCTTGAGGTGTAAGAGTTGCGGCGCGCGAAGTATCCTCTGATTCGGTACCTGCGGCTGCCTGTCTGGCTGCCTTTGCGGCATGTTGGTTGCGGATCTTCTCCATAAAGGCCTCTGATTGCGCGGCGTACTTGCACTTCTCGCGAATAGTCTTGCCGTACTTGTAGAACAAGAATGGGAGCGGAAGACAAGCGACAGCCAGGAAAGCTGGTACTGATGATGCCCAGTGAATACCAAGGCCCTTGTACATTTGCGAGGTGAATAGAGGGAAAGCAGCACCGAAGATTGAACGGATGATACCGTTACCAGCGAGTACGGATGCGGCGAAAATGGTGTACGAATCAATGAGGTAGTTCATGATGGACAAGAAGATGAGCACCATGCCGAAACCGAAGGGGATGGAAGCAACAACGCTAGCGGCCCATGGCAATGTCGGAGAGTTGGTCCAGGCAAACCAGAAGAGACCGATGGGTAGTGCGATACCACCGATGATGCACATGGGCAGACGTGCCTCAGGAGCTGCGAATCCGCGACCAGACTCTTGTACTTTCCTCATGTACATCTTGTTGTCGACGGTGATGACGTATGTGATAGCAAGCAGGACTCCAATAGCGACGGCAACGAAAGGCAGACCGCTGATACCCTCGTTCCAGCCACGGCCGATACGGTAGACAATTGGGAAAGCACCGAAAAGCATGTAAAGGATACCGTAAATGATGGCGTGGTACAAGGAAAGTAGCAAGACGATGGGCTCGCAGAAGAGCAGGATCCAGGGTCGCTTGAGACCAGTCGCAAAAGCCTCTCCAAGCGAAACCTTGCCTTGGTCGATATCAGTGCGGGATCGGTAAACCTTTCCGGAAATCTTCGAGAGCTTCTCAGCACGTTTCCTGAGGAGGACCGGGGCGTATGTCTCAGGAACGAGGAAGGTGGTAACGACGAGAATTACACCAGCCCAGATGGCCATGAGTCCGTTGACCCATCTCCAGCCTTCAGTCATACCCAGGAATCCACCAATAATCGGACCGAGAACGGGGCCCATGAATGGCGCAGCGGAGAAGATGGACATGGCCAGTCCACGCTCGTTTGCAGAGAATAGATCAGCAATGACACCTCCAGCGTTGGTAAGAGGACTGGAACCGAAAGCGGCAGCGAAGAATCGAAGGATGAGCAGGCCGTAGATTGTGGGCGCACCGGCGGCACCAGCGTTGAAAGCCATGAAAGCGGTATACGTTCCGACGAAGACGAGTTGACGACCATACAATTCCGAGAAGGGAGCCCATAGAAGAGGTCCGAGAGCGAATCCTAGAACGAAGAGCGATACACCGAGTGTGACAACTTCCTGGCTAACGCTGAACTCAGCCATGATTTGTTGGATGCCTAATACATGTCAGACGTCATTCAATATGCATTTCGATTCGCGTAAGACATACCTCCAGAGAAAGCTGATGAACAGAACGATACAACGAGAACGGAGTTTGCAACCGCAATGGCCATGATCCACTTCTTCGTCTTAGGCCAGGTCATTGGATTCCTGGGGTCATTGTCGATCCACTCCACCACGTAGGGATCCTCTTCAGTTCCCGCACCCTCGTAGTCGTAGTTGATGATCTCCTTGGTAACGACACCCTGATCAGTGATCATCTTCCAATGGGAGATGCCTTCTCTTCCAGACTCGACGTCCATGCTGCTGCTATTGCTGTTTGCCGCAGAGTTTGCGGCAACCTCTTGGTCCTTCTCCATCATAGTGTGGTTATCGACTCGATGTGTTGGCGTTGTGTGATGGTTGATATCGTTCGTCGAAGGAATAAAGAGCAAGATGGCAGGGACGATGCCCAGTATTATTAAAAGGTTATCTAAAGTAGAGGAACGACGAAAGAATTGCGACACAATTAAGCTCGGAGGAAGAAAGCAGGACGATCACGGCGGGACACGCCACATATAAACAACTCAGACACACGGTGGGCTGCGCACAAGTCATGCGATGCGGCGGTAAGGAACCCACTAGCAATGCGTAACCAGGACAAAACAGATCGGTCGACAAACGTTCTGGCTGCCCAACCATCTGGATCCGTCCTTAATCCCGACTCGCAAAGCTCCAAACCCGCTTGCAACGTGCGATCCATGAGGCGATGACACCATGATCAAAAATCTTAACTTTGCTCGGCCGAAGCGTTACGCTATTATGAAAGCAGCGACGCCTCTCTAAAGCTTGGCTCGCGGAACCAATCAGAGCCTCAGATCAAAGGGTAGGCGCCGAACGTGACAGGGATTACGGAGATGGGAAAAGGTGCCGCTATGCATGTTGCAGATCGCGGACAGTGCGTCATAGGGCTTTGCAAGGTTGAAGGTATCGAAGGAGAATATACCGAGATGCCGAGGTTACCCTGGATGCTATTCAGGGATATACATAGCAAACGAGATTTTTCACTCGTTTCCGCCATCTGGAGTTAAAGTGCGGACGGTGGGCTGCTTAGACGGAGGGTCGGCTCCAATCCATAACTTTCTTACAAAAGAGGAGGTTACGCGTGTTGTCTGGGCGGAGATGGGGATGATTACCCACACCGTACCTAAGGTGCAAGCTGATTAATTTTGATGAGCGATGAGTAGTTGTTCTACTCCATCATTATAGCCGAGGTGCAGAGAGCGACTGAATCCTCATCGCGTGTGTATGCATACGAGATTCATCTTATCTCATTCTCGCAACTTGACACCAAAGCGGTGATACGGCACTGATTCCTCAGCAAAATCCGCTCCGCTCCACCCTTGTTCGGACCAAGACACAATGTCCCGACTCCGACCGGAATTCGGTGTCGCGACTGCATGCAGTACATCACAGTCCTTGTCGGAATGTGCAAATCCTAAATCCATCTGCTGAATACATCCAACCTTCACCACACAGACATGCAGTTCCCTGAGCAACGGCCAACCCGATAACTCAAATACCCCAACGGCCGAATCTCCCCCAATTCCCAATCAAAAACTCGTACGCCCCGTGCGTTGCGGCTCAAAATAAGCTTCGCTTTGAAACGAACGGGGCTCCCGAAAGCTGGTGGGTCATGTCACGACTCATGTAGGTTCTAGAAGATGCGTCGAGCCGCATCGTAAGATTGGCCCCATCTCTCAACGTTTTCTCTGTTGTTGCCGAGGTACATGTAACGTGACTGTGTTTGGACGAGATGCGCGGTAGTTTGAGGCAGGTTTTGTACTGAGAAGGCATGTTTGTACACATCCAAAGGTTTGGTCTTGATCATCTTTACGTTTCCGTGTCGATGTCGATGAAGCCACTCATCTTGTCACAAGTAACTGATTGTAAGTGAAGATGATAGCAAACTAGTGTACAGACTCAGTAGTTGTCGCTGTTCCCTGTGTGGTTAGTAGTGTTGATGTGCTATCTGAGGAGGCGTGCCGTGTAATAGGGCTAGGTATTTTGGACTTGCATGTGCCACGCTAAAGATTCATACAGACCGAGTGTTTTCGTCTTGTGTTCTGAACCTCATTATGCTTATATGAGCGTGAGGATGAGACCTTGTTTGTAACAGACCCTGATTTGTGCTTTGAGTACAACATTGTTCAATCACATGTCATTCTCGCTTGCGAGGACTTGCATCCTAACTTTGGACATTTAACCTGTGTCATTTCGATTTCATATACATATCTTTCCCGTTGGTCATAACCGTAAATACCCATTCAAACGCCAACGCCAATGCTAGCTCAACGTGCCATGTCTTTCAATCACAGTCGTCCCTCCAAAGACCATTTTTACACCTCGTTGCTAGGGTACGTAACCTTCTCTGTAGGCAGGAATTCCTCCTTGACCGCCCTCATGTTAACGAATCTCGACAGCAGAGTCGCGCTGCCAGCCTTGTCGTTCGTTCCGCTAGCCCTTGATCCACCGAATGGCTGTTGTCCGACGACCGCACCTGTGCACTTGCAATTGATGTAGAAGTTACCAGCAGCGTCCCTTAGCTTGTCAGACGCGTACTTGATGGTCTCCCTATCCTTTGCAAACACGGCGCCAGTCAACGCGTACTCGGAAGTGTCGTCGATCTGCTTGATGATCTTGGTGAAAGCATCGGGCGCAGCGTCGTCGTAGACATAGGCCACGAGGATGGGACCGAAGAGTTCACGGGACAAGAGAGGGTGGTTAGGGTTCTTGGTACGGTATATGGTGGGGTGGATGTAGTAACCCTTGCTGCTGTCGTACTGGCCGCCAACGACGAGCTCGAGCTCACTGTCGTTCTTGGCTTCGTCGATAACACCGGAGAGCTTCTTGAAAGACGCTTCGTGGATGACAGGGCCGATGAAGTTGGAGAAGTCAGTGGGCTCGCCAATCTTCAGGGCT